TATATATTATATATATATATATATATATATATATATAATTATAAATAATTTTATATATTCTTGTTTTTTTATAACGATATTTTAAATAAATTTTGGTCATTTTTTATAAATTAATTTTTAACATTTAAATTATTACAATGTTTATTATATCGTATATTTGATAACATTATACATGGATACCTATATTTTTATCACTTTTAGATTTTTATTTATATTTTAACAGATATAAATATCGCAATTTTTTTTCATAAATTATTCTATAAATTGTAAATTTCTAAGAATATGTATTTGTTATTATATTATAATAATATATATATTATTATTATTTATTTAAGTTTTTTTAATAAAAAAAGGTATACAATTTTATTGAAATTAATTACATTACTATATAAATTATAATAGAAAAAACAAGTATTTTTGAAATGACATTTTTTGCAATGTAAATATAATTATAATTATTTTCAATTTCTTATAATGAATTCTTAATTTTTTAAAATTTGTTTAATGAAATATTTATTTGCTTAAGAATTAAAAAATAGCAGAATATATTAAGAGGAAAGAATAATTAGATATTATACTCTATATACAGTTTTTATTCTATATATTCTATTCTATATTGAGTCACAAAAATCTTCATATGAAAGTTCAAGTTCTATTAAGTTATGTTTATTAAAATCAATAATAATTCCATTTTATGTAAAATATTATGAATATGTAGATCATAATGAATTATATATGCAACAACTTTTTTATTAATAAATTATTATTTCCAGGGGATGAAATCATCCCTTAAGATATTAGAATTATGTTCATTTCTTAAATATAAATTCATACGAGATAGAGAAAGATCAAAATTTTTTAAACGTTAACTTTTAAAATATTTAAACTTTAATGTTCTTATTGTCTAATTGTAAAAAATATTTCCAGGCAAAACATGAAAAAATGATAAATTTAAGATTCGATTTCACATAAAAATATTCTATCGAAAAATAATTGTTTTATAATTATAAATATTATAAATTATAATTCATTATGATTTATGTATATACAATTTTTAAAATTATTTTTCAAAATGGATGAATTTCTTTGTAAGATAACTTGAATGAAAACTTTTGTAATTATACATACATATTTTTATTATTCATAAACAATTCTTAAAATTACTTCTCAAATTTTATCTCCACAGATAAGAAGAATGCAAGATATGCTTGCGCAAATGCAAGAGAAATTAAAAGCAACAGGACAAGTTGGTCCAGGAATTGGTCTCAGAGGAAGAGTCGGCAGTCTTGGAAACGATTTAGATGCCACGGATGTCGAAAAGAAACGCAACAGTATTATAGATGTTTAAACTCTTGATTATAATAATGCTAACATATATTATTATTGTTGTAATTTTTCATTATCATATCGAATTTTTGGTTCTATGTAAATGCGCACAAGATTGTCGAAACGTGTTTCAAAGGACGAGAAAGTTTTATACGAGTCTATAGGAGTATTATTGATGCATTATTAAATTAATCATTAGGTGGTTAATCATGTTTACGAACAAGTTTTTACTTTTATATTTATACTGCTTGTATAGTAGTTAGAATATTATTGTGTCACGTAAACTGTGTTTTAATGTCATTCATTTCGACATGAAAAAATTGTATTTGTATCATGCTGTATTTATAAAAATGAAAATAATAGTAGAAAGGAAAAATACGATGTAAGAGAAAAAAGAATACGAACCATTTTCTTTTTCTTCGTTAATTATTATGTGATTAATATATCAATTATATATTTAATCAGAAAATTGTTTTTTCAATGCAATTTCTACAGTAATAAACATGTATTATTTATCTAACAAATTTTAATTTCAATTAATATTTTTCTAAAATAAAATATCTGTAATTTGTAATAATTTCAATTCTTACCGAAAACGGTAAGAATTTTAGCGATTCAGGAACTGAACTCACCAAATGAATGATTGCTGCTATATAGCCAGAAAGGCAATGCGGTTTTATTATTAACTATAATTATAGGTATGGATTCGTATTAAAGTTCCCCCAAATCACTGTGATTCCATCTCCATTTCGTCGCACCCGCAACCTGAAACACGGTATAAAATCCACCGTCTTCGTAACATTAAGCTATTTTCTTTCGGTGAAGACTTGCAAGATCCTGCTAATGATTCGAAAGGTTTGTTCTTAGTTACACGTAATCTTTCTTACAGAATTTTAAATATCTTTTCTATTCATAACAATAAAATTTTTTATCAATCTAACATTAATAGCATTCTTTCAATCATATTATCGAGAAACATTAAACATAAATCTCATTTCGATGAAATATCTTTTAATTTTTTTAAACAATTAACTCATAAGTAATGCATTCTTTTTATGGATTAAAAGAAATGCAAAAGATTTTTTTTTCTACACAGGTATTTCTGTTAACAATGATGTTGGTAGGAATTTTGAGCGAACCTCAAGGACCTGCCTATCTTCCACCTACGGGAACACGTCCAGCTACTGGTGGTCACCCTGACGAGTGGGTCGGTGTAAGTACTTTTTTCTCCTTTATATTTTGTCATTCATATTATGCGAATAAAATAATGAATATGTTACTTTCATAAACCAATTTTTTTATTTAGCAATCCATATTAACCATATGATTTTATAATATAAAATGGAGTACAAATTTTATAAGTAAAATATCGGTAAACTAACGTACCTTTAGAATTTAATTTGTGATCGATATAAATTAGTTTTTTCCACGTCTTCTTTTTTTTCATAGGATCCGGCAAATTACGAATTTTCATACGAAGTCGAAGACGCGGTAGCTGGATTAAATTTTGGCCACCACGAATCACGAAAAGATAACGAAGCAACTGGAGCTTATCACGTATTATTACCAGATGGTAGAACACAAATTGTTGATTACATCGCCGACAATGGTGGTTACAGGCCCATGGTACGATACGAAGGAACAGCAACTTATCCAGCTCCAGGATCTGGTCCAAGGGTATCCCCTGGAGGATCTACCAGTAACGAGGGATATAGATATTAGAGATTTACATTGAAATTGATTTTTCAATAAAAGGTAAAGATGAAAATTTAAGAGATAATCGGCGAAATCGAAATGTGTCAGCAAATTATATGCCTTGTAATAAAATCTTTAATAACTTTTTTCCATGTTTCATCATCTTCTTCCTTCCACTATTTATTATCTTTATATTTTTTAATATATTGTAAAACTTCTTGGACATCTTCTTGCGATCCCAAAAATAATGGAGATCTTTGATGAATTTTTTTGGGTATTACGTCCAAAATATCAATTTCTCCGTTCGATGCCATGCCGCCGGCTTGTTTTATTATATAGGCCATTGGTATACATTCGTACAAAAGTCGCAACTATAAATAATTATATATTTCAGGAATTATTTATATATTATTTTTTTTATTTTTTTAAAACAACTATACCTTTCCTTGCGGATAAGTTTTGATCGCTGGATAAAGAAATATTCCTCCATATTTTAACGTCCTGTGCACATCAGCCACCATAGAGCCCACATACCGAGCACTATATATTTTTCCATTATTAGGATATTTCTTCGAATGAATGTACGTTTTGATAGCTGTATTCCAAAAATTTTCGTATGCTTCGTTAATGCTAAAATCATCATATAATTATAGATCATAGGTATATTAAAATTAGAAATGAGTCAATACCTGTTTTTTTAAATTCGTAAAACTAAAATCAAACTTGAAATTATACGAAATCTCGAAACTCTTCAATCCAGAATTATTTTTCTTCCTTTTTTTTCAAGATATATTTATTTGATTAAAAATTAAAATTTTAATCAATGTTGATTTCTGATCAATTTTAATTCAACCAATAGTAACAATAATCAACAATAATCTTTTGTAAACAATTGTATTTTTATACGTTTTATATTTTTTTCATATGAATTATTATAACGAATTAGTCAATTAAAATGAATTAAAATTTAAATGCAATTTCAATTGGATTATCATTAATTAAATAAATTTATATCGTTATAATATTCTTATAAGTTATTTATATAAATTATTCTTTATTTAAGTTTTGATAGTTTCAAATTTTAAAAGAGTTCAACATTTTAAGTTTCGAAGCGTTTCTTTTCTTTCGAGACTTTAAATTAATTTGAAAAAATGATAAATAATTTAATTCTTACCTATAGACATTTCCTCTAGAAGGTATTTGTATATTTTTGTCGGTTAAAATAAATTCCCCGATCGCTGAGTCATAAGTAAAACCATTAACTCCGTGGCCAACCGAAAGTATTATTATTGTTGCTGAACTATAGAGTGCAAACCCAGCAGCAATTAAATTTTTACCAGATTGGAGGACATTCGCTATTAAAGGCTCTTTCAATTCCTCCGGCTTCTTGTAAATCCCAAATATGGAACCAACTGATACTATACAATCAATATTAGAAGATCCATCCAAAGGATCGAAGCATACTATGTATTTTCCACGTTTTTCAATCTCCACTTCAATCACATCTGTATTTTCTTCACTTACAAGAAAGCAAGTTGTGTACGAAGATGCTAACATGTTTATGAACAACTCGTTGCTCAATATATCTAATTTTCTTACTTCTTCTCCGTGAATATTTTTTTTTCCGGTCATCCCGAACCTATGTTGCGATAAAAAGTCGTTTAAAAAAACGGTTATCAAGTTCTTCCCATAGAATTCTTATTTAACGAATACTTACGAATTAAAAATTTTTAAATAATTTGGAAGGTACCTTTTTATATTGTTTGTATTAAAATTTGTAAAAGAGTTGATTATTATTTACTTTTCTACGTTTATTATTTTTCTCTGAATAAATTGTTAAAAGTGAAAGAATCATTTTTTTTTTATTAATCAAAGTATAAAACAAAACTTTATTGTGTTTATTATACGCTATAAACTTTTGATGATAAATTATTTTACTTATCTATTTTTATTTTTTATAATAATAGAAGAATTTAATTTAACACTTTTATATGCAATATTTTAATAATGTAACGAAATCTTTATTTTATTAATCTTTGATTAACCATTATTTATTATTAATACTTTCTATAATCAAAATAGAATAATTTTGAAAAAAAGATTATTGCAAGATTTATACATGTAAATAAAGAAATTTAAATTTTATTTTAAAAATAGTGAATCAATTATTTCTTGATTCGTATTTATAATTAGACCTTAGTCTATGTGTTAAAAATACATAACTAATCAAATATTTTAAATATTAAAATATCAATATATAAAATACTCACATATTTGTAATACCAGCTGTTTTCACTGCTGAACTGATCCCTTTTATTGCAGTTTGTATACTGTTTAGAAGTTGACTTAGATCTCCGGTAGCAGTTGATATCTTTCGTTGTTCAGCAAGTATGAATCTCGTCAATGTTATGCAATCTGAATCGAAAGAATAATTCTTCAAAGCCATGTTTTGCAGCGGCAAAGTGTATTCGTCTATTTTGTAATTCAGCAGACGAACTACGGTAGATATGTCTACGCGTATCTCTATATAAAGCAGAACAATATTTCGATATTAAATTATCACTTGAAAGAAAGTATTCAAAGAAATTTTAATAATCTCAAATTTATAATTCATATAACTATCTACACATACAATTTCTACATTTAAAAAATGATTTTAAAATGTTTCATCGATTAGATTCCAAATTAATAATTAAATTGTGAATGCATATTCTTATAGAAAATAAGTAGAATTTTTTTGATATAAAATTCTAAAAATATTAATTATAATTCTTTTTTTTATATTTTGCATAATATAACATAATAATGTATATATTTTAAGTATTGCATATTATATATTGTGTATTATGTATATATATTATGTATTGTGCATATTATATTATATTATTCTTTGTATATAAATTTGTTCATATTTCGTTTATATTATAGGCTGATTTCCGTCTGTACATATACGTCGTTTATAGATACACATGGGAATAGAGTAAAATAGAATTATTTTTAATTTAATTTATTAATTTAATACTGATTCTAAAAATATACTTAGAAATAAATAATAAATAAGATTGAAGTTATATTGAAAATTTAAATACATAAAATATTAATATTTTGTAAGGTTAATAACTATTAAAGATTATGCTGTAATATCATCATTGATACAAATACTTATGCTTTTATGATATTATGATGTAAGATATACTTTTTTCAATATATAAATTAATATTATCAAACAAAAGACGTCAAACAACATAGAAAAAACTATTACAACTTAAATTATAGTAAGTAAAATAATAAAATGATTTAAATAAAATAATAATAAAATGATTTATATAGATATATACTTGTATTTTTTACATATTCCTTTCGTATAATATTGCATATATTTTGCATATATGTATATTTTATATATTTTGACATATTATATTTACATGAACATCTAGTTTATTATTTTATATTCAATCAATTTTTATTCTAAAAATAAAACGATGTCTCTATGGATACAGTTCACAATTATTATTTTTTATTTTCAATTTTTTGACAATTTCGAAGTATATACTATAACATTACAATTAATATTTAATATATAATTATTTATAATATTATCAGCTTGACAATAATATTTAAATGATAGATTCGTTCAGGAGTTATTAATATTACAAACATTCTAACATTCATAATCGATAATATTTGTAACATATGTATATTTACATTATGTCAATAATATTTATAACACTTACATATTACATATACTTACATATATATATATATATATATATAT